ATGAATATGCGATTTCTAATTGTAATAATCTATTTATACAATTTTCGATTGGAATATTCTGAAATTAAGAATATTTGCACTCCAAAAGAATATTCATAGAACTATGTGTGCTATCCCAGATAGCACAAGACACTCCTATGAACATTTTAGGAATATTCGTCAAGAATATTTGGAATCTTCCGTAGGTCAATCTTATATATTGTATTTATCTTGTGTTCGTGGAACATCCGACTGGCACTACTATAAATCTTTTTCGAAAGTGAATAGAATAATCTATCGAATAATGTGTCGGTTATATGTGGTATGTTCACAGGTTTCTGCCTTTTGCATAAGATAAATGAATTGTACAGCAAACAATGTGCAACACATAAACTCGATGAATATTCTATAAACGTTCTTCTTTGTCATGCATATACGATTTTTAATTGTAACAATCTACTTATAGAATATTCAATTGGAATATTCTGAAATTAAGAATATTTGCACACCAGAAGAATATTCAGAGAACTATGTGTGCTACACAGTAAAAGATTAAATGTTACCTTTTTTTACACGTCCCAAAAGTCCACTCTAAATTTGAAGTTAAAATAACATTTATCGCGCGTGTTACTTTTTGACAAATTATAAATGTTAATTCACCAACACTATATTTTTACATTTATGTTTATGTTCTCTCAACCTCAAGTGTGATGTAATAAAAACAGACGGAATAAGTAAACTGTACGAATAGTTACGAATCAGAATAGTTGAAATAATTTTTAAGAAATTAGTCGACATTACATGTTTTGGTTGATTTTGTGAAATAGTTGTGTTAAAAGAACTCAAAATAATATTCAATTTTTAAATAACATATACATAAAGCGTCAAGTTATTACGTTAACATAAAATACAACACATAAAAGTGTTACGAAAATAATAACATATACGTTTTACGTTAATTTTACATTGAAGTGAGAATCAAATCTTGGTAACAGAAGAAAATTTTAACATTTAAACACAATTTTTTTACTGTGTATATCTGAGTAAATATGACTGGCGCTATATCGATCCTATTTTATGATACATTGAAGTGTAACAGCAATGGATCCGGAAATTTTGCCCGTGGGTGCGGGAAATAAGCTGATCGACGAGATGATTATAGACGACGTAAAAAAAGAATAATATATAACTGGAACGTTAGTCAATAAAATACCACGTGCTCTCGTATTGATATTAGTTGATCGTCCAACGTCGAAAATCGGACTCTGTTTCTATTGTTAAGATTCGCTCATAACGATCCGTGATGGTTCGAACAATGAACGAACGTTGCGGGTAGGTATGAAATAACATTGCAGTGAATCACAGTATTTCGAATCTACCGCGCCATGTGGATGCAACAGTGAGCGAATATTATTTATCTATAAATATCCCAGTTTTCCCGGTGTAACACTCGCACTGGTACATCGCGTAACAGCGCGTATGACGTAAATCGCACTAACGTACGATGTCCATTTCGTTTTTTTTCTTCTGGAAATCGGGACTTTCGAGTATGCTTTCATCGATGATTTCTCTTCCACGGATACAAATTAGACATACCGAATGTCGCGAAATAAATCGTTAGCCTTGCCTTATCTGCTTTTTCCTCCACGATCTTGTCCCGATAATGTCTACGTGTACCTGCTAATCCGTACTTGCTTTTTCCATACTAAATCCCGCTTCGGCTCGCAACGTGAAAGACCGTTCGCACGATATCGCCTAGAAAGGATACCGTAGAAAGAGTAGACCGCGCCAGCGTCACGTCGACTTCCTAGATCGTAACGGTCCAGATCAGCGAATATCTCGGCGCGCTCGTCGGATCGAAGCTGGGGGGGAAAAAAAAGAAAAGTAGCGTTTCCTTTCGCTCAACGAGCGCAGGGACGTTTACGCTGGTTCTACAATAGACGCGGCAAGTCGCAAGTCGCGAGAAATCGACCAATCGCAGCCAAATGTGAGAAGACTAATCGACCGTCATTGGCCGATTTCTTGCGGCGTGCGACTTACCGCGTCTATTGTAGAGCCGGCCTTATGCGAGCTCTGTAATGCGAGTCTGAGTCGTAGTCGTAAGAATAGTCGACTATGATTGGTCAATTCTCATGTGCCTGATTGAATTGACCAATTACAGTCGATTATTCTTACGACTGCGACTCTGAGACTCGCATTGTAGACCCCGCATTACACAATACGTCGTATGTCGGGACGTAGCAGATGATCCGATGCGAGGATTTATTCTTTTTAAAGAAATTTTCTTATCCGACAACGACAGACGACGTATTGTATAACAGGCCTGCGGGGTCTAAAATGAGAGTCGCAGAGTCGCAGTCGTAAGAATAATCGATTGCGGTCAATTCAGCCAGACACATAAGAATGAACCAATCGTAGTCGACTATTCATACGACTACGACTTTACGACTTCTACGTAGACGAGGCTTTAGCGCGGTCCGCCGTGTACGCGAGACTCGGCCCCGACCTCGTAAAATCGGAGCTCGCGGCAATTTGGCGATTTAACGACCCGTGAAGCACGTCGACGTGCGGTCCTTCGCGTGAAAATTGGCTTCGAAGATCGCGGCCACTTCGCGAATAAATAATCGTAAACTGGAAGAACCGTAAGAGACGCGAACGAGCCGGCTCGGTACGCGAGACCGCGAGAATTCCCGCCGGTTAATTCGCGAAGCGATTCCAATTACGTCGCTCTAATCGTACGGATTCACGCCGTGGTGCGTCACGCCGCGCGCTCGATCCAATAATTACGTTACGCGTGCGAGGAGATAGTGGAAGATAAATTTCACCGATGACGGTATACGACGAGATAGTCGTTGATTTATATATAGCTTAATAGGGAAATCCGCTGGACGCACTAATGCACATTAGAAATCGATAAAGCGGCACTTTAGCACTTAAATAAATAATTGTTCGAAACGAATCCCCATTAACAATAATACAACGGTAAAAATGCAATCTAGTGATAAAATCAATAATTGTAACAATATAAAATCACGAGGGACGAACTCGAGCTTGCTAGTGGCACGTTCAGAATGTGAATTAACGATGTCGCTAAGGATCGATTAATCTCAAGTGCTGCTTGAATTATATTAGTATAATTATCATATGCAAATCACCGTTTGAATGGAATTCATTCGGGATACAACGGTACGTTGTAACAGAACTAAGGAAATCTGTCCCTTGCCACTTTGCTTCCGAGATCCTTGTCGCAGTATCGCTCACAATCCCGGTATTACGGCCTGTTGTACAATACGTCGTATGTCGCCGTCGGGACGTAGCCGGTGGTCCAGTGGGAAAATTGATTTTGAAAGAATAAAACGGCGACGAAACGACGTATTGTAGAACAGACCTTAGAGTTTCCCGGTCAAAGACGATCGTTGACCGGGACAGCAGCGGGTGGAGACTGCGAGATTTCGAAACGACGGAATTACGAGCGCATCGCGAGTTGCATAACGGTAAATTATCCTAATTCCGCAATATATCGATATAACAACGGAAGTAATGAAGAGACGTTACGTGTTGAAGTCGGAAAATTAGCTTACGAGTGGAAATTACGTCGAACCGGTAAAATTACCGTCGTAAGATTATCCACAAACTGTACACAAATTTCGTATCGTAGCGTAGATAATAAAATTACGTTTAATTGGGACACGAATGCATACAAACGAGATCGATGCTTATCGCATCCTGCCGTTAAACGGATCGACTTTCCTCAACATATTTGCGGGCAGAGACGATAAAACACCTCGCACTCGTTGTATGGAGATATGAAAGGTTGTCCAAAGCAAATCTAAACGCGACGTGTAATCAATACGAATTGGGCGAACGGTGAAAGAGAGAGGCGCATCGCGATGGTATCGCTGACAATCGCTCCGGTGAGTCAGCTGTGATACCTAAATAAACCGAAAAAAAAGGCGATTGTCTCTAACATGCGCGATACACGTGGAGGAGTTTCAATTTTACGAATCTTTCGAAATAAATAATGCCATTGCATTAAGCGAAGTAATATTCTAGCCAGGAGTAATCTTCAATGTCGTCAGTAATAATTAAAAGACTTGCATGTCTGGCAAATTTTATGTTCGTAACTCACAACGTTTCGACCATGGTTTGCGGCCATTTTCAAGTGATCTAACGGTGAAAATATAAAAAATATTTTAAAACAATTAATACATAAATAAGTTACAAATAAGAGTCGGAGGTATCTCGAGTCGAAATTTTGGTCCTATGTCAAACCTTTAATTCTATTATATAGTAGGATCTAAGACAGTAAAAGAGGTTGAACTGCATGTACAAAATTTACTCCTACTTTAAAACTGATCGTGTCGAAAATTTCTACTTTTGCCCATTTAGCATTAAAGTAGGTTCTTTTAAGTAGGGGCTAAAGTAAATTTTTGGAATTAAAGATTCAAGGGAGGAGTAAAAAAAATTTAACGTCATCAAAGTAGGTTATTGTTGGTCTGTGTAGGTGTATAGATCGGCTAAGTAGGTGTAAATTATCCTTGAAAGTGTCAAAATAGTACCAAAATTTCGATCTCGGATCTCTCCAACATTAATACATTGTCTCCATAAATCCATGACAACGGTTTTTACTGATGCTCTCGTATTACCGCTCTCCGTCTCAATATCTCCGACTCTTATTTGTCACTCATTTATGTATTAACTGTTTTAAAATATTTTCTTATACTCGTACCGTCACTTGAAAAGGACAACAAACCATGGTCGAAACGTTGTAAGTAATGAATATTAAAATTGCCAGACTTGGCCAAGTTATCATTGAAGTCTCTCAAAGTACTGTTTATCCTTGGCGGTCGAATTTGTGGATGAATAATTTTCAACGGGTAAGTTGCTCGCATCGTCGATGGTTTGTCATCAATCGCCTGGACATGCAACAAGGCGTTACTTAAGAAAGTAATTTTGTTAATTCAACAACCGTTTCGTTATCTCCGACAACCATTCTGTCACCTCTGGCGAGCATTTCGTAAACCACATTATGATTTGTGAATTATTAAGGGTCGCAGTCGAAACGCAGACGTTCATCTGGACGTTCGTTACTTCGAAGTAGTAGGTGCGTCCAAATATTCTCGGACGCGCGACCGACGACGAGGCACGTCTTGGTGGGAGGCAAAACTCTCTCTCTAGAGCTCAGCTGATCATTAAAGCTGCTGCTGGCACAGTCAAACTTTCACGCTCGGCGATACGCGAGCTTCGCGAGCGAGGAGTAGTCCGTCGTTGCTTTCAAGGTCCGCGCTTCCGAATACGATACATCGATCCCGATTCCGCTCTGTTTCTGCAGCGAGACGCGGGAATCGCGACGCATGTCGCACGCGACGGGACGAAGGGACCGCCGGGCTGGCTGAGCCGAAAAAATCCGCCGAAGGGATCGAAACGACGAACGGAAAGAGTGAAGGAGGCCGACGAAAAGTCGGCCAGGCAGTGCGAGGCTCCTGTTAACCGAACTTGCTCGCGCCAATCGGCGGCTTTTCACAGTTTCCCTCGGTACTTCGCTATGAAACTTATCGCACCGTTAACGCCAGCAGGAAATACGTAATTACTAAAACCGATAATTTAATTAGTCCAAGAGATTAGTCGAGCGCGGAGTGTCTGACAGAGAAATTGCGTGGCGCTCGAGCGGCGAGTTTTGTCCCTTTTTCTTTGCGAATGGATTCAATGACAAGCCATTGCAGGTGGAAATGTTGTAAATTGTTGCGTTGAGAGAAACTGAAGTACAACTATGTGCGACGTGCAGGCTCCCTGCCCATTGGATAAATCGACGATTAATGAAGAGATAACGAATCATAACCGCGTCTCGAGCTAGACGGTATCGAGACGGTTCGTCGATTCGCGTAAAATTACGCACGAGCGCTCCGCTAAGACAGCATCTCAATCTCGGAGGTTTGAATGAAGACAAATGACACCTAACGCGAGAGGCGGCATCGATCTCCTGGCACCCAGAATCGGATTATCACGGCGGGCGATCGGGCATACGAGTCGTGCGTTATTAGTGAAAGTCGCCCGCGCCTGTTCAGTTTGAGGATCAAGACTAACGGCGCTACGATATTCCCGGCCGAGAATCGCGTGAAGGGGTAAAGAAGGTCAGGAAGGAAAGGAAGGATCAACAGAGATCTTCACCTGGCTGGAGAAAGGGAAAGATAATCGGGCAAAATGACGGGCGGCCTCTCGTCGACGTTCGAATTTCGACACACGTCGTGAGCGAGTTCTCTCGCTGGGTAAAGCGACGTTTAAAAAGTCGAGCGTGCTCAGAGCGGAAAGTTGTGTGTCATTGTTCTCTTTGCCGGCTCTTCCCCCGAGTTCCGATTACACCGGGTCGGAGGAAGCGCCGTGAGCTTGAGTTTCTCGGGAGAAAGGAACGGATCCGTGGACGAGTAGACCGCGAAGTAAGAAGCTCGTGGAGAGTTATTAAGAGTAAAAAGAAAAGGGGGAACCGTCGGATCTTCGCGCACTTCGCTGAGCCGTGGCTCTCTCACGACGGCGCTTCGCGAGACTGCGCTAGGTATATAAGGGGCCGCGGTTAGGAAAACAAATGGAAATTTCGCAGAGTAATACTTCACGATGCTTTTCGCGGAGCGAAGGCATTTTAAGTGAGACGCACTCCAACTTTAGAGAGGAAATATCAAACTGAAACGATCGAAGCGTAACAATCGCTGAAGTGAAGCTTCAGGCCCCTCCTTGCCCTCCGAGAACGACGAGATACGTTATTTGTGAAAAAAAAACAACGAAAGCAAATCAAACAGAAGGTTCCAGCGAGTCTGATAACGTTACCTTTGATAAAGTCGCAACAATATTCTCGGTCTATTTTACGACAGTTAACGACCGTTGTTACCAGGTAGACATCAAAAAGAAGGAAAGTAAAAGTTTAAAGATTGTTGAGCTCCATGGAACGTCTCTGTTACAAGCTTCAACTCCTTCGTTAAAAAACGCGCTCATTAAACTTCAGTACTTGAAAACGTATTGAAGGCTCGCTTCTGTTACGCAGATTCGCGCACAGCAAACAAGTTTCATTCACGCGGCGAGGTATCGAGAGAGAGAGAGAGGGAAATTGACCAAAGCCGCTTCGTTACACGATCGATAATTTCTATTTCCTCGACTGAAAAAAGGAATTATCTACGGTCAATCTTTCACTCGAAGATCAAAAGAATCCATTGACGGGCCGCGGGAGGCTATTGCGAAGAATTTCAGCGGCAAACTGGATGAGCAAAATCAACGAACTGTGCGCGAAGAAGTGGGAGAGCCATCTTCGAAGCCGTCCGCTCGCTACGAATGAGGATTGAAAGAGACAAAGTGCGCAATTTATCGCGGACATTGAAAGAACTGGGGAACAGTGTATTTCTTTTCGGCGGCATGCATTAAAATGACAACGAGGCTTTTACTCGAATGAGGCTTGACCTTCGTTACTTGTCCGTCCCCCGAGAGAGCACGCGCGCCTTAGCTCTTCAACCCGAGCAGTTCCGATCTATATCCAGTTTAAACGAGTTCGCCGCCGAAAGACGGAAGGACACGGGACGGAGGATGCGAGGAGCCGTCGTAAGGACGCGGCCAAGCAGCGACCAGACGCGACACGCTCGCAAAACGATCGCGGGGTGAACGACGGGACGGTTCATCGCGGGTTCGCCGCCGCGAACTGGAGCGTGAGGGGTCCGTTCTCCCGCCGGCATCATCCCGCTTACCCGACCGGAAACGCGCGGCGAGGAGAATACGAATTCGCGGCGGATCTTTCAGGCCGTTTCTCGCTTCGCCGATGCACGAAAGAAGTCGCGTGACGAGAGCGTCGCGCGTTCAAACGTGACGCGGGGGATCGTCCGCGGTAGAAAAGAAAAGGAAGAAAGTAGTAGGAGGGAGGGAGAGAAAAGCGATGCCGGGTCGCGAGACGATTGTCCTCTTCCGTTGAGGGATTCGTCGACGATCTCGAGGCTCCGCCGTAAAAGTGTCGCGGCGCGCGAGGGGAGGAGAATCGCCGCGCGAAAATCATCCGCCATCGTTAAACGGGTGTCGGCAGGCTGACATCTCGAGGATGACGCGCGCCGCGTACCGACCCGGCCTCCACCATCTCCTCCTGGGGTTCACCTTGCTGATCGAACCCCTGCTGGGCTACAACGTCCTGATGGCCACCATGGGTGGCACCAAGTCCCACACGGTGCCCTTCGTCGCCCTTGGTACCAGTCTGAGGTCGCGAGGACACAACGTCACGCTGCTGAGCGCTTTCTCCGGTCCCGCGGCGAATAATGGTCTTCACGAACTGGTGCCGTCGAACCTCGAGGTGATTTACGATCCACCACGCACGTCCGTGCCCCGACGGATTTCGAACCCCCTATCGCGGGACTTTTGCCGCGTCTCGCGAGCGCCGCTTCTCCCTTCCAATTTGGCTCTTGACCTATATTTAATTTTATTACACACCGAGTAATTTACCAGAACCGTCTGTCTGTACTCGTCTGCGTCTTTTTTTTTAAGTCATTGTCTTTTCTTTTTAAGCCGCTGCTTTCGAGCCCCTGCTCTTGTCTACCTGTTTTACCTTTTCTTCGGGTCCTCCTTCAAAGAAGTTTAAAAAGAAACTCGCAAGAGCACGCGATAACGTTTTGCCGTTTTTCTTTCCTCGTTAAATGTTCCTTAAAGTCAGGGATGTTCGGCCACGAGGGCAAACAGGTTTCGCGATGTACTGTTCGTGACACGGAAAGTTTGCGAGCTAACCGAACGGTCGCGCGAGCGGCTCTAATGGATTTATGTGTTGCGCCGCACACGCACGTGTTTCACCGCTCGTGTCTTACGGCAGGCCTATGTCGAGAATTTCACGGCCCGGTGGGACCTGGTGGGCGCCAGGTTCCGGAACGAGCTTCCGGTATCGCCGTGGGACGCCATGAGATACGCCTGGGAGTCCTGCGAGGCGTTGCTGCAGGACGCGCCGTCGATAGCCGGCATGAGAAAACCGGACAGCGACCCGCACGCCCGATGGGACGTCGCGGTGCTCGACGGCGCTTATCCCGAATGCATGCTGGGGATCCTCCACGGCGAGAACGTGCCGACGATAATGCTGAACACGGTAACACGCCTTTCGAGAAGAGCGCGACGGGACCCTACGCAATATATTTCGATTCCCGTTACAGCACGTCCCGATTCTCTCGCCGCGATAACTTTTACTCGAAGATAAGTACAATGTTATGTTGAAGCGACCTAAACTCACATCGACAGTGGTGAATTACGGTTTTATTCAATTCGCATTCTCCAGTCGAAATTTTGGTACTATTTTGACACTTTCAAGGATAATTTACACC